GTCTAGGCCCAAAACGTCAGCCTTCCTGCTCCTCTGATGCTGCTTGGCCTGCTGTGTTCATCCAGCTCTACACCTTGTTATCTCTTCCTGACTGGCAGATGTTAGCTTTTCATACCTCAATCTTTGAGGCTTCTGGAGGAGGATGTTTGTTCTTTGAACTTTACAATATCAATACATAATCTAAGACAATAACGTGCATTTAAATGTCTCACTTGCATAACATGCTGGAATGAACAGGATGTAGTTAATTCTAATCAATCTGCTTAGAACTCTTACTGCACATTCAGCAAGGTTTTGTCATGCTGTTCAGAGTACAGCTCTTCTCCAAAGAATCATTTAGGATTTTCTTTATGGTTATTTGGAGTCAATAGTCCCCTTGCACTTGTAGTTGACAGCCTTCACATTTTGAGGTGCATCATTTGAAAGATGGATCCATTGATAAGTCAAGTACCCAGTCTTTCTTGCATCCTAAAAATACGAAGGGAACTGATCTAATACTTACACATGTAAATAAATCCTACAACACCCTTTCTTTGCACTGTAAGACATTAATATATAGATTGTACTGAGCTATAAGCTTTTGCACATGTTGCTTGAGAGCAACAAATGCTGGAGATCACAGTGAGTCAGAGAGCAATAATTGAGAGAGAGCAAGCTAACGTTTCGAGCCTAGATGACTCTCCAGCAGAGCTGAAGTGAAGTGTGGAGGGGGAGCATTTATGCTATAGTTTGGTGGGGTGGTAGGTATAGGCTGTTGGTGGAGAAAAAAATGTTGATAGTTCAGAATAAGTGATTGGAATGTGAGAATGGCAGAACAATGGTGTGTCTCCTGCCAGAGGGTTGCTTTTCAGACTGGAGGCCTACGACCAGCGGTGTGCCACAAAGATTGGTGCTGGGTCCACTGCTTTTTGTCATTTATATAAATGATTTGGATATGAATTTTGGAGGTATGGTTAGTAAGTTTGCACATGACACCAACATTGGAGGTGTAGTGGACAGCAAAGAGGGCTACCTCAGAGTATAACGGTACCTTGATCAGATGGGACAATGCGCCAAGAAGTAGCAAATGGAGTTTAATTTAGATAAATGTGAGGTGCTGATTTTGGAAAGGCAAATCAGGGCAGGACGTATGCACTTAATGGTAAGGTCCTGGGGATTATTGCTGAGCAAAGAGACCTTGGAGTGCCGGCTCATAGTTCCTTGAAAGTGGAGTTGCAAATAGATAGGATAGTGAAGAAGACATTTGTTATGCTTGCCTTTTCCATTCAGTGCATTGAGTATAGGAGTTTCAAGGTCATGTTGCGGCTGAACAGGACATTGGTTAGGCCACTATTGGAATATTGTGTGCTGTTCTGGTCTCCCTGCTATAGGAAGGATGTTGTGAAACTTGAAAGGGTTCAGAAATGATTTACAAGGATGTTGGAGGGTTTGAGCTTTAGGGAGACACTGAATAGACTGGGGCTATTTTCCCTGGAATGTTGGAGGCTGATGGTTGACCTTATAGTGGTTTATAAAATCATGAGGGGCATGGATCAGGTAAATAGACATGGTCTTTCCCCAGGGTGGGGAGCCCAAAACTATGGGGCATAGGTTTAAGGTGAGAGGGGTAAGATTTAAAAGGACCTAAGGGGAAACTTTTTCTGGCAAAAGGTGGTGCGCGTGTGGAATGAGCTGTCAGAGGAAGTGGTGGAGTTTGGTACAATTACAACATGTAAAAGGCATTTGGATGGGTATATGAATAGGAAGGGTTAAGAGTGATATGGGCCAAACGCTGGCAAATGGGACTGATTTATTTAGGATATCTGGTTGGCATGGGCGAGTTGGACCGAAGGGTCTGTTTTTGTGCTATATATCTCTAAGACTTGAAAAGACATATAGTCCCAATGGAATGGGGGGAGGGGAGAGAAGACATGATAACAGAATGTAATGAGCTAAAAGAAAGGGGAGAAATTGTTCACAGTTTGAAGGTGTTGAACTCATTATTATGTCTAGAAAGCTGTAAGGTGCCTAGTCTGAAGATGAAATAACAAGGTGTAGAGCTGGATGAACACAGCAGGCCAAGCAGCATCAGAGGAGCAGGAAAGCTGACATTTCGGGTCTAGACCCTGCTTCAGAAATAGGGGAGGGGTAGGGGATTCTGAAATAAAAAGGGAGAGAGGGGAAGGCAGATAGAAGATGGATAAAGGAGAAGATAAGTGGAGAGGAGACAGACAGGTCAAAGAGGCGGGGTTGGAGCCAGTAAAGGTGAGTGTAGATGGGGAGTTAAGGAGGGGATAGGTCAGTCCAGGGAGGACGGACAGGTCAAGGGGGCGG